CCGGACAGATGGGAAGCAAGTGGTGTGGGACTATTACATGTGCATCTACCTTGGCTGATACCTATCTCCCAAAACACCAGGGAGGAAGGAGGGGCAGCTGCCAGTTTCGAGGTCCCAGAAATCTAGAAAATATGGAGAACTTGCCCATCATTTATATGTTTGTTTTCCCCTAGGCTCAGAGACCCTTGGCTCATGGGGAAAGAGTGCATTTTAAATTCCCTTTAAGGAGCTGGGGAAAAGACTCATCAGGGTAACTAGGGATCCCAGGGCAGCTAGTTTCCCGTTCCAGCGGCTCAGTGTGCTGTTCAAAGGGGTAATGCCTGCTGTATTTGGGCACACGCCCCAGTTCTGAGGAGCTGGTGGATTTTCGCCTTATAATCGGTGATACACACGTAACAAAAAATGTACCTTTATGCCACCTTTATATCAACAATGTATCTCTTAAACTTCTGTACCATATTATGTATAAAATATTCCTATTAGTAAAAAAAAATTATATCAAAAAGATGGGGTGGTAGGGGAAGGGTGGAATATTCAAACGGCTTTAGGAAAAAATCCAAATATTCTTCCTTGAAGCCTTTTTATCCACTTCTCGAGGCTGTGGCTCCCACAATTTACACCAGAGGTGGACCCCATTCCTATATATATATATATATATATATATATATATATATTTTATATATTTATTTATATATATATATATATATATTATTTTATATATATTTTCAACAAGTCGGTCGTCTCCCACCGCTACTACTGCAGAAAAACATAAGACAGGAAACTCAGATTACTGTGTCACGATAGATAATCAAACTTAGTCATTGCTGCTTTTCTGTCTCCTTTAGTTCATGGATGAAGCCTTCAAAGCAGAGGTTATCTGTCCCTTCATCATAACACCCTGAGATTATTTTTTTTAATAATCGTCTCGGATATGAAAACGATGAAGACAGATTATAGGAGATAATCCAGGTAAACCGGAGATTACATCGCAACAAATTAACAATCACAATTCTAGAGAAACTGGGGACTAAATCCCAATAATATAGAAAGAAAATTCTGTTGTAATAGGTGAGGGAATATTAATTAATTAACGAAGGGGGAAAACCCCTGTCCGCTTAAAATATTAATTCCAGTAACAACCGAGGCAAAAATCTTCATCAACTTATAAGGAAATTCATTATATTCTGGATATAATGTTCTAGGGGAGAATAACTGACTTTACAACTAACGAAAGTGACAATTATGTTTAAATTAAATTAAGGACACAGATTCCTAATAGAGCTTTCCAACTAAATTAGTTACGTTTATTTTTTATTAAGGTCTTACACCAACGCAAGTAACAGTGAGAGACTGTTAAATGTATAAACAGAAGGACGGACGAGGAGGCGAACTGTGAGATCCTAGGTAACGCTGGACCTGATACACGCATGAACCACGGTACGATGCAGCGCTGGACCTGATACACGCATGAACCACGGTACGAGGCAGCGCTGGGCCTGATACCCGCATGAACCACGGTACGAGGCAGCGCTGGACCTGATACCCGCATGAACCACGGTACGAGGCAGCGCTGGACCTGATACCCGCATGAACCACGGCACGAGGCAGCGCTGGACCTGATACACGCATCAACCACGGTACGAGGCAGCGCTGGACCTGATACACGCATCAACCACGGTACGAGGCAGCGCTGGACCTGATACACGCATGAACCACGGTACGAGGCAGCGCTGGACCTGATACACGCATGAACCACGGCACGAGGCAGCGCTGGGCCTGATACACGCATGAACCACGGTACGAGGCAGCGCTGGGCCTGATACCCGCATGAACCACGGTACGAGGCAGCGCTGGACCTGATACCCGCATGAACCACGGTACGAGGCAGCGCTGGACCTGATACCCGCATGAACCACGGTACGAGGCAGCGCTGGACCTGATACCCGCATGAACCACGGTACGAGGCAGCGCTGGACCTGATACCGCATGAAACCACGGTACGAGGCAGCGCTGGGCCTGATACCCGCATGAACCACGGTACGAGGCAGCGCTGGACCTGATACCCGCATGAACCACGGTTACGAGGCAGCGCTGGACCTGATACACGCATGAACCACGGTACGAGGCAGCGCTGGACCTGATACACGCATGAACCACGGTACGAGGCAGCGCTGGACCTGATACACGCATGAACCACGGTACGAGGCAGCGCTGGACCTGATACACGCATGAACCACGGTACGAGGCAGCGCTGGACCTGATACACGCATGAACCACGGTACGAGGCAGCGCTGGACCTGATACACGCATGAACCACGGTACGAGGCAGCGCTGGACCTGATACACGCATGAACCACGGTACGAGGCAGCGCTGGACCTGATACACGCATGAACCACGGTACGAGGCAGCGCTGGACCTGATACCCGCATGAACCACGGCATGAGGCAGCGCTGGGCCTGATACCCGCATGAACCACGGTACGAGGCAGCGCTGGACCTGATACCCGCATGAACCACGGTACGAGGCAGCGCTGGACCTGATACACGCATGAACCACGGTACGAGGCAGCGCTGGACCTGATACCCGCATGAACCACGGTACGAGGCAGCGCTGGACCTGATACACGCATGAACCACGGTACGAGGCAGCGCTGGACCTGATACACGCATGAACCACGGTACGAGGCAGCGCTGGACTGATACCCGCATGAACCACGGTACGAGGCAGCGTGGACCTGATACACGCATGAACCACGGTTACGAGGCAGCGCTGGACCTGATACACGCATGAACCACGGTACGAGGCAGCGCTGGGCCTGATACACGCATGAACCACGGTACGAGGCAGACGCTGGGCTGATACACGCATGAACCACGGTACGAGGCAGCGCTGGACCTGATACACGCATGAACCACGGTACGAGGCAGCGCTGTACCTGATACACGCATGAACCACGGTACGAGGCAGCGCTGGACCTGATACACGCATGAACCACGGTACGAGGCAGCGCTGGGCCTGATACACGCATGAACCACGGTACGAGGCAGCGCTGGACCTGTTACCCGCATGAACCACGGCACGAGGCAGCGCTGGGCCTGATACACGCATGAACCACGGTACGAGGCAGCGCTGGACCTGATACCCGCATGAACCACGGTACGAGGCAGCGCTGGACCTGATACCCGCATGAACCACGGTACGAGGCAGCGCTGGGCCTGATACACGCATGAACCACGGTACGAGGCAGCGCTGGACCTGATACCCGCATGAACCACGGTACGAGGCAGCGCTGGGCCTGATACACGCATGAACCACGGTACGAGGCAGCGTGGGCCTGATACCAGCATGAACCACGGTACGAGGCAGCGCTGGACCTGATACACGCATGAACCACGGTACGAGGCAGCGCTGGACCTGTTACCCGCATGAACCACGGCACGAGGCAGCGCTGGGCCTGATACACGCATGAACCACGGTACGAGGCAGCGCTGGACCTGATACACGCATGAACCACGGTACGAGGCAGCGCTGGACCTGATACACGCATGAACCACGGTACGAGGCAGCGCTGGGCCTGATACCCGCATGAACCACGGTACGAGGCAGCGCTGGACCTGATACACGCATGAACCACGGTACCAGTCACCTTCAATTCTCCTTAGTCACTGTCAAGACATGTATGAAAATGATGTATAAGAGGGATCTGCGTTAGTGGCACGACACTGATACATTTCTTTAAGTTTCAAGGTCATTGGGTCAAAGGCTAGTATAATTAGCGACAAGTATATAATTAACCAGGTGCACAACACCAAGATATAGTATAACACAGGTAAATATATATGGTATACACAAGTGCAATGTTTGGAAAGTGTTTCCTCGGATGCGTTTCCCTGGCCGGAAGTTTCTCAGTCCACCACAGTGTGAGGGAGACATGTTAAGGATAGGTATAATGGTATAATGTAAGCGACACTGACTCATCGTTACACCTTCGTTATTATCAATATCATCACTATCACACGAAGCCATTAATTAACCGTCATTACTACCATCTACTCTAATACACAGGCACTCACCACCACCATCACTACTACCACCACAACCACCACCACTACTACCACCACCACCACTACTATCACCACCACTGCCACTACAACCACAGCCACCACCACCACCACTACTACTACTACTACCACCACCACCACTACTACCACTAAAACCACTGTCACCACCACCACCACTTTCACCACAACTACTACACCACCACCACTGTCACCACTACTGCCACTACAGCCACTAACACCACTACCACCACCATCGCTACTATCATCAACACCACCACTATTACCACCACCACTACCACCACTACTACCACCACAACACTACCACCACTACCACCACCACTACTACCACCACCACTACTACCACCACCACAAACACCACCACTACTACCATCACCACCACCACCACCACCACCACCACCACCACCACCACCACCACTACAACCACCACCACCACTACCACCATCACCACCACTTCCACCACCACAATCACTATCATACACCACCACCACGATCGATCACCATCTTCTAGCACCACTACAATCACCATCATCCACCACCACCACAATCACCCATCCACCATCATCACTACTACCACCACGACCATTACAACCACCACCACTATACCACTACCACCACAATCACTATAATACAGCACTACCACGATCACCATCTTCTAGCACCACCACAATGACCATCATCCACCACCACCACAATCACCCATCCATCATCACCACAATCACCATCATCCACCACCACCACAATCACCATCATCCACCATCACCACAATCACCATCATCCACCACCACTACAATCACCATCGTCCATCACCACCACAATCACCATCATCCACCACCACCACAATCACCATCATCCACCATCACCACAATCACCATCATCCACCACCACTACAATCACCATCGTCCATCACCACCACAATCACCATCATCCACCACCACCACAATCACCATCATCCACAACTACTCAGTCTTACCCAGCGTCTCTTCCTTCCAGAGGGACGAGGAAGTATGGAGTGTGAACCAGGATGGTTCCCATGTGACTCAGAACCATTGTGTGTGGAGCGACGGTTTATCTGTGACACTTACAACGACTGTCCTGACAAAAGCGACGAGTGGAACTGCAGTAAGTCAGTGTTTTAGTTGTAGCAGAAGGGAGAACTGCGCAAATGTTTACGTAATGTGCACTGCTAAGTCAATGTGATATATATATATATATATATATATATATATATATATATATATATATATATATATATATATATATATATATATATATATATATATATATATATAGATAGATAGATAGATAGATAGATATATATTATGGAAGCAACTCAAGACTTTTGTGTTATGTTCCAGTCCTGAATAAGAAAACATTATTCAGAACATGTCTGTGTAATTCACGATATTCAGGCAGACAAAGGAAAAAAATTACTCAGAAAATATATACAGCAAGAGAATGCTACCAAATTAGGATTGCAATGAATGCCAAAAACGAGGTACGTAAACTAAAATGGAATTTGTGTGTGTGAGAGAGGGTTTGTGTGTGTATGTGTGAGAGAGAGAGAGAGTTTGTGTTGAATAAAATAAATGAAACACCGTAGAGACGTGACGAGGATGAGGAATGAGGTAACAGTGGAGAGAACTGTTAGTATGTGAGGAGAAAGGATGATACAAGGGAGAGAACTACAGGTTGCTTCAGGGAGAATGGTAGAATCCACCTGCGGTGCTCAGCCAGTTCTTCATCAGTTACTTGAGGGCTAAACACAACTTGTTGCTGAAGTTCAGGTTTAATGCAGCCGAACTTTGTCGCTGTCGGAAAGTTCACTCAGACTGTTGGCAGAGTTGGAGAACAAGTATGACAAAAGCTCTCGCGTCACACGCTGAGGGTTCGGGTTCAATTCCCGGGGTGGAAATTTCGGACGTATTTCCTTACACCAGTTGTCTATATTCACCCATCAGAAAAATGGATACCTGGGTATTAGTGGACTGGTGTGGGTCGCATCCTGGGGCAAAACTGACCTAATTTGCGGAAAATGCTTTGAATAATAAACGGCTTTCTATATAGTAGTATGTCACTGTTGTCAGCTATGGTCTGTATACCTTGTACACGTCCTTGTAGTAAATAAACATATTATTATTATTATTATTATTATTATTATTATTATTATTATTATTATTATTATTATTATTATTACTATTATTACTACTAATAACTAGACAGGAACACTTTTCTCACACTAACACATTACACCTTCCACCTCAATTAATGGTCTTTTATCTGCATTTTATATTGGACTTCTCATTTAAAAGTCCAACATTTTTCCATTTTACTTCCATAGGTACATGAAGTTTAAGTAATTTATCAAACTCTATATATATATATATATATATATATATATATATATATATATATATATATATATATATATATATATATATATATATATATATATTATATATATATATATATATATATATATATATATATATAATATATATATATATATATATATATATATATATATATATATATTATATATATATGTATATATATATTATATATATATATATATATATATATATATATATATATATATATATATATATATATATATATATATATAATGTAGGGAGGTACCACCTCTATAACTAGACTGGGGACCCTCATCCTCAGAGAAGACAATAAACGTACCTCAGGGAAAACTCAAGGCTCTCCCCGGAGTTGTTTGAATATATTCTTCTCCTACCACCCCCTATATTTTGTATTCTATGGGAAAATTTATTAATAGACAGAATACATTTACAGAAAATACAAACATGAATACAATGGTATATGTTAAAGATTATGGATTTCCTCCAGCTCTTCCGAGGCTGGACGCGAGCCAAGTATGTAGCAAGCATTTCCTCTCTGGATGTCCACGCTGAGGCGCTGGAACATGAAAGTGGCTGGCCTTTGGTCCCTGGTGGTGTCTCTGAGTCTGGAACCCAATTCTTTAAGGAAACGTGTGGCGATTTTCCCCATGATCCCAAGGTCTCTGATCCCACTGGGACAAATTGATACTTTGGGCTTATTTCCCTGTACTTGCTGATCTTGTACTCCTCCCTGTCGCCCCACACTGTGATGGATATAGGTGTCAGCTAGTGCGGACACACAGCTATAATCCCATGCTAAGAGCTTGCCATTCTTCCAAGGATAGATGGTGATCACGTCGGGGCGGTTTGCTGGGTTGTGAGTATTGTTGGCTGCTAGTGATCGGGGCTCCCTCTCGGCTGGGCATCCAGCTGTAGCAAGGGTTCTCTTTATGATGTCGTTGACTTCATTGTGTCTTGCATGCCAGGCCTTGGTTTTGGAACAGTTAAGACCATGTAGACCATATTGGTCAGCTTGTGCTTCGCCGCAAATACACGTATATTCCGAGTGAATTGGGGCAGCAAGGCGCAGAGCCACTGCAATACCGAGGGTCTTAGGGTCGAAGCGTGTTCCCATTGCCGATATGGGAACTGTTTGAAGGAAGTCCCCGGAGTGATGTGCGCTCACAGCCTGGAGACGGGCTGTCTCTCTGTCTGATGTTACAGCCCTGAGCATGTTGGTAAGCACCTTTTCAGTGATCGGGCCATCCCAGCTTGACTGTTTGTGAGCCAGTGCTGCACTAGGGTTTGGTGCTGGAGCAGCAAGAGTCTCCCATTCAGCGATGGCACTGGCATAGTTAGGGTCCTGTATTCCTGCTGAGTCACTGAGGTTATTAGGAAGAATTTGTCTTATATTATATATTATATTATATATTATATATATGTATATATATATATATAATATATATATATATATATATATATATATATATAATATATATATATATATATATATATATATATATATATATATATATATATATATATATAGTATATCATGGAAGGTAATTCAACTGAATCAAACCTAAATTCTCGACAATTACATTAAGGATAAACTCATCCAGATTACAAGCATTGCTTTAAAAATGATGGCGAACCTCAGTCTTCTAACTAGACATTACAATCACTTCTGATTTGTCCTTACAGTCTCATATATTTGCAATATATAAAAGTGCCTTCAAAAGAGTTGAAAAACATTTCACTTATTCAAAACTACTTTGGCTCTGAAAGTGGGCTTTTGATGTCACCTGAGGCAGGTGTTCTTCTTCCCTTTGCATTAATACTCTTCCATGTGATTATTAATATTTATTATTTATATTCACAAAATGCGCTCATCCCGTACGGGTCATGAAGCTCCAGGGAAGGTATCGGCTATGAGAAGCAACGCAACAGATAAAGTTACTCATTAATAAGGGAAGGAAGATCTGGCGTAATAAATCCGTTGTAGTAAAATGTATCGAGTTCGTCTGTACTGAAAGTAGGACGTCCTGACAGGTGAGCAGCAGCAGCGTGAGAGGAACCTGACGCTGAAGACTAGATAATAAGTCCTACGTGCTCTTTAATAATGGAATAATTAAGCAAAACGTGTTCGACCCTTTGTGAAATTTGACAAGCGGCACAGAGAGGTCCCTGGCGCCTGTCCGTGTGATAGCTATGTGTCAGTCACGTATGTCCGATAGGAAGAAGTGCAAGAGGTCGATCAATAACGCAAATGCAACTTAATCAAGACCTTATTGTATGTTGCCATCGAGCCCAGAAGGAGGGACATACTCCAAGGGAGAGAAGGAGGGACATAATCTAAGGGAGAGAAGGAGGGACATACTCTAAGGGAGAGGAGGGACATACTCTAAGGGAGAGAAGGAGGGACATACTCTAAGGGAGAGAAGGAGGGACATACTCCAAGGGAGAGGAGGGACATACTCTAAGGGAGAGAAGGAGGGACATACTCTAAGGGAGAGGAGGGACATACTCTAAGGGAGAGAAGGAGGGAAGTACTCTAAGGGAGAGAAGGAGGGACATACTCTAAGAGAGAGGAGGGACATACTCTAAGGGAGAAAAGGAGGGACATACTCTAAGGGAGAGAAGGAGGAACATACTCTAAGGGAGAGAAGGAGGGACATACTCTAAGGGAGAGAAGGAGGAAAATACTCTAAGCATCCCTTATTTCCGAGGAGCAACAGAAAATAAATAAGCAGGGTGATCTAAAGAGGGAGACAGATAAAGAGCAGTAACTGGAGTCCAGAGAGGAAAGTTAAAGGGGCATAATAAAGAAGGGAGTTGTAGTGCCGTTAAGGTCATAAACGTGAACTGAACAACGCGGACAGTGAGTATCCCGACGCTCCTGAAATGAAGGAACATTCATCTCTACATAGACATACTCTCTGATGCTAGACGGCATCAAGCTTGGAGAGTTGCTTTTGAAAGATAGAAATGCACTTGATCCTTATAATCAAGTTCAGACAGAACCAAGAAATATGAATAGAAAGCAGAACTCGCGCTCCAGTGCGTTCTGCTTTCTATTTCCATTCGTTCTTATATCTAAAGTATTTTCCTGTAGCCTTTTCTAAATTACTGTTCTTGTATCTATTGTTCCTATCCTGTCACTTTGTCTAGATAAATACTCTTACATCTAATTATAATTCCTCATTTAAAAGGATTTTTAAAGCAATTTAGAGTGAAGCCATTCATCCCATTAGTAATCTTGATTACACGTCTAATTATGAATCGTTAGAGTTCTGCAGTAAAGCCGCAACCCACCTCTCATTACTGCTTCTTTCATGCTTTTCTTGACGTATACATCCCATCAGCATAAATTATAAAGGTACGTGATGCTCCCATCCCACTCACCTCTCAAGTATTGTGTTCATGCTGGTTATCTTTTAACAGAGGGCCTTGCTGCTTAATTTTTCCATAACAGCCGTTCTGCGGAGAAAATTATTAAGAGGTGCTGCTGTCTTTAAACTTGCGATCTTTAGTCCTTGAAGAAGCATTTGAGTTTTTTATGAGTGTCTTGACTGACACCTGTTTAACCCCCCCCCGATACCAGTGCCTTCCCTCACACCTGTGTTTTCAAACCACAACTGTGTTTCCACTGAGACATTTTTTTTTCACTGACACTTGTATTTTTACTGAAACCTGTATCTTCTCCGACACCTGTGTCTTCTCTGACACCTGTGTCTTCTCTGACACCTGTGTCTTCTCTGACACCTGTGTC